GCTTTAGAGATGTAGTTTATTAACTGGTGGAACAAATTACAGTATGTTTCCTTCAGTAACAGAGCACTGGATGCAGTGACTTGGAAGGGCTTCAAGGTCTTGAAGTTAACTTATCTTGTAATTAGATAAAGCTGTAGCAGAGGGTGTAAAATGTTTTCATACATGACAGAGGCAAAGTACTTTGTGCTGCCTTTCCTCTGGTATCCTCCTAATTATGCTGGGACGCCTAATGAGCCCACTGATTGTTGGAGGTGGGCATCAGATACAATATTTGTGCCTGTCTATATTTGTATAAAGAAATAACAGTCCTCATACATGTTTCTGAGCATGCTATGCCCACCTAATACATATATTTCTTTGGCTTTTGCCTGATGTAGTGGACTGTAAATAGACTGCATTTTTTCTTAGACATTTAGCACAACATATGTTTCAATCTTGAGAGCTGCCTTTCTCCTGCCAGGAAACATTAATTAATTTTACATACATGCATTTAGTTAACATATATTTCTTGTTCTCTTTGATACTATACTTCTAAATCAATGTTTTGTGATTCATGCCAATCTGATAATTTTGATGCCTATAAGTGCTGGAGTACAGGAAAACATTTGGTGTATCTGTCTCACTTGAGACAAATGAGTAGGGATGAAAAGTATGTTAATGTTTGTTGTCTTTTGCAGTTGGTCAGTGTGATTCAGCATCTCAAGTGAGAACTGGCTGTGTGGGGCAGAGAAGAGAGATGTAAAAGTGAAAACTAGCACTAGAAAATAGGAATCACAGAAAATTGTTAGGATTGTAAAAGTTTATGTGACTGGCTAGTGATAAGCAATCAATCTGATCTTTCTGAGTTTTGGATTCAGAAGCAAGGCTGTCTTAGTTTCTCTGTCTGACAAAGGACCTGTCTTCTACTACAATTAGACAATTTATTTTGGTGAGATGATACTGTACTGGTATGTTTGTCAGACTTGCTAAGCATTTTCATGCTGTAGGTGAATTTAGAGGAAATAATTTACCTTGTTTTTCAAATCAGTAACAGGCAACTCAATACTACATTCTTATGTTTCCAAAATATGCAGACTATAACAAAAATCAGGCTATGTTACATCATCTTTGGTGTTTAAAGTAGCAGAAAGAAATGGAGAATATTCTGTGAATGAATGACTGCACTACTTCCACTCTGAAATTTTGATATGACCTTAATTAATATTACTACTACATCTAATTACAAGCACATTACAAAAGCACATGAAAAAAAAGCTGCACATTAAGTAATTCACTCTGTAACAAGACTTGCTCCAAATTATGATTTGGAGTGAAGAAGCATCTGATAATTATGAAGGACTTGGATGTACACACATGCTCCTAAACGTATGCAAAATGACCACCCAAGTTCAGACGTGGGTCATCGATATTAAAGGTAAATGATGAGACCAGTTCTTGTACTTGGTTGTATTTATATGGGTACTGCTCTTGTAACAACTGTGCTGTGTGAAAGAAAGTCTTTGTCTGAAAGTTAACTTATGCTAAGGTACAGGAAAGCTCTAGGAGTCTTGATCTGACTAGTAAATGCTACATGGTGTAGAAAAAAAACACAGTTAACTTGAAAACAGTCTAACATCTCATCAAACGTTAATAATGGCAAAAGGAAAAAAAAAGAGGCACGGCAAGTAATGATTAAATCAATTTTGTGGTAATGTTTCCTTCTCCCCTGCCTCCTCACCTTTTTGCTAGTGCAATAATTTGCTGCTGTTGGCCTGATCAGTGAATCCTTTTTACATCCCTCTGTGTTTACAAAAATAAGCTATGTAAAGAGTCCTCATATGATTGAAATGGAATTATTTTCTCTACTGGCTACATGAGGTGCTACACCACTCAAACATTGCACATAGAATTGCATTCAGCATCATGCCAGCTGGGAAGCTAATAGCTGTCAGTGCTGTATGGCCTGTCTACCTTATCATGTGGTTCACCTTAACCAGAAAGTAGCCTGCTTGTTAGAATGGTCAGAAGCACAGCTTAGGTGTTTAGACACACATCTCTGGTCCAGCAGCCTAACCACTTTTCATGTGCTGGCAAAGTCATGCAATCACTGAAGGAGATGGGGAAGAAGTATCAAAATCAGGCTGCACATGGTTTACCAACAGTGGAATGACATGAGTGTCTCACAGAGCTAGAAAATGCTGCTTTCAGTTCTGAGTACCACATGTCAGGAAGGACACAGATAAGCTGAATAACAATAAGGAGTGAATGGTTGGAAAACTAAAATCTTGGAGGAGAGGTAATGATAGCTAGATAGGTTTAATGTGAAGGAAAAAGGGAGAAGAGACCACCATGTTAGATGTGATCATTGTCTTTGGATGATTCAGGAATTGTCAAATCCCTTGCAAACTCATGGAAGCATTGACTATCAGCCTTTAAAAACTATTTTCCAATGTAATGATTCTATTGCAACAATCTTGATCCTCTTGCATAAAGTATGATAAAATTACCCACTGAAGGAGGCTCATGAAGAGGTTGATAATCTAATTGTTTTGTTTCTATAAATTGAATGCATTTTGCCCCATTACATCTTTGAGATGACATACTGTTGTTGTGAGGATGAGGTTCAGCTGAAGCTTCAGCTGCAACCAGTAAAACATGAAATGCCACCACATGAAACAATGGTAAACACACATGGGAGGGTCTCATAGTTTATAAACTAAGACAGGTAATGCACGAGACAGCTATCAGTGTGACTTTCTAATTAAAAGCACAAAGCATATTTCAAGAAAAGTGCATTCAGAAATCATTACATTATTTTTTCTTTTTCATTCTCCAGTAACTCTGTATTCCTCCTCCATACACTACAGCAACTCTGTGTTCCTCCTCCATACACTACAGCAACTCTGTGTTCCTCCTCCATACACTACAGCAAACAAAGGAGATTTCACTGTAACCTTAGAAATTCCCTGCTTCGTAACAAACAGTATGGCTCATTACCATGATCTCATCAAATGGGTCAAACTAAGTTCAAACATTTTTTAATAACCCTATTCCTTGTTAATATGTATTTCATGAATAATGAGATATTCACAATAGCTACAGAAAGACAAAACATCTTCATACATACTCTTTACAGATAAATTGATGAGGAAAAACAATGAAGAGATCTCAGGGTTCAGACTGTGAATGACAGATATGCTAATGAAACGGGCTGCCTGTATGTCAGAGAGAATATTGGCATGCTTTATTATGCCTATATAATTCCACTTTTTTGATGAAACATTGAACAGTTCAAAATGTAATGCCTACACTCTGAATTTGCACACTTAAAATAAAATGAAGATGTAAGGCACACTTACAATGCATTAGAAGACATAACAATGGATTACACTCCATGGCATTTACAGATACTTTTTGAGGACATGGACAACTGATGTTTTCTGTATTGTTTTCCCTCAACTAATCTACTTATGTTTCCTCTTTTACAATTTATGCATATCAGTGAGGAACACAAGACTCTAGTAAACATCCTTTCTAGGCAAGGATCTGAATGGTCATATTCATACATTTTAAAAATAAATGCCATGTCACTTTATTTGCCAGACACGACTCTCTAAGAAGCAGATTTATTTTTCTTTGTATGGCCTGTGTTTATGCAACTTAATGCTTCTGTTGTATTCAATGAAGATGCCTCACTAGTAAACTAATGGGTACACTTCACAGATATTCCAGATTCATACAGTGCAATGTTTTCACAACACAGAGCACTATGGAAACACTGTATGAATCCTAGAATTCCTACCTCTCTTGTGGTTTGCAACTTGAACAGAAGAAACAGTTGACATAGCTAATTTGGGAGCAACTGGATAGTAATAAAATGAACAGTAAATTAGAAAAGATATCACATAGGAACAAATTGAAAGATTAAAATAAACATCTTTATTTTCTAACTTTTAAATTAAATTTAACAATGGTTGTTGTTTTCTAAGGAAAGAGTGAAAGATAGAGAAAATGAGTTATATGCTACCAACTATTGAATCATTTGAGCTGTAATACCCAAGATCAAGACGGGGAACGTAATTCACATCGACACACTTTGGCAGTTTTGTGTTAGAGATTATTTGGTGATTTCTCCCAATCCATGACAAATGAGTACATTGTAACCAGAGTGGTCTGAAAAGGGTTTTATTGAATTTGTATGTGTATTTATTCTGGCCATATAGTATGAACATGAACCCCACAATAAAACAATTAGATATAGGCAGATTTCTGTAATTATTCTTTTCATACACTATCCTTAACTGAAGTATTTAATCTACAATAAATATTAAACACTAACAAATGCTGCAAACACACATAAACTGAATAGAAATGCTTGTAACTTTTTGTGTTTTATGTTCCCTAACAAAACATCAAAACTAAATTTACTTAAACTCTTTATTTTTGGGGAAGAAACACTGAATAATTCTGTGCTGTTTGAGACGTATTTTGCAACAAAGTCTTAGATCACTCACAGTATAATTAAGCTATGAAATCCATTAGAAATGCTAAGTATAATTTAATTGGGAATGTTTTGATTTAAAATTCCTGTGAATAATGTAGGCTAATCCTTACAGAAAGCAGAGGAACAGACATCAATCTGTTTTTTTCTGTTTGTTTAAGGAACACATGCAAAAGCTTGGAAAACATAACATGGGCTAAGTGAAGTTGCTGGAATGCTAAGTATCACTTTATCAGGGATATTTAGTTTAAAATATATATGAATAATCTGAACTATAGTACATTGTTAATTCTTGTAGAGAGCAAAGATTAATTAGTATTTTCTGTTTTTTTGGGCACATAGAAACTTGCACATATAACATGGTAGATTTTACATGCATGTGTTTTGATTTGGTCATTGTGATCCATAGATTTAATTACAGCCCTTCCAATGTAATTCCCAACACATCTTGTTCCGTTTAGTGGCTCTTTTTCTAGACCGCCTTTCCATTAATTTTATTCTCCACCTCTATGTGTTACAGCACAGAAAGGACACCTTTGAACAGTGAAGGCAAGCCACAGGCCAGATTTCTGCAGGGATTTTTGAAGAGGAAAGGGCAGTAAGTAAGAAGAACAAAAGGACATTATTTTTATAATGAACAATAATTCTGAATGTGAAGTATGGCTGAATAATTCTTCAAACAACAAAGAACCTTACTTTTATTAGTCATAAAAAGTAATTTGTTTCTTTCAATGCTAATCAATGTGCCACAGTCTGTGAGTAATTTTTCGTGTGGCGCTCAAATTGTAGAAAACCATGAGTCTGTCCTGCAGAGAACTTGCTTGTATTGTGGATGGCATGAAAGCTGAGAATGCTTCTCAGCTCACTTGGGAAAACAAAATGGAAACAAGACATTAAAAATGGGTTTGATGTAGACAATGACAATCTTTTTCACTGAAAAATCTCAAAACTTACTCAAAATATAGACTGTGCTGTCTAAACAAGTCCAACATTATCTAGGGCTTTGTGTATATCAGTGCTGTGTGTCTACTTTTCCAGGCTTTTTGCAGTCATGTGTACAGTCTGATTGCTGGAAGACTCCTTTTTCAGATAAGGTTTGTTTTATAGTTATTTTCTCACAGGATAGCATTATTTAGTATCAGAGAAAAGTGAATTGGATTATCATCGTTACTACTTTTGCCACCATGTGGGACTCAAAAGCAATTTCAGTAACTTTAGACCACTAGGAATTTTACAGCATCCTACCTTGGTTTGGTTTAGAAACCTCAAGGGAAGAAATATTCGGCCATATCCTATCAAACTTTGGAGGATCTGCATGCATCAGGAAAAATCAAGTTTTGTTATTTACATCTGTGTTATTGTTCTAAACAGGCAAGCATATGGACAAAGACAGATTACAAACATCTATTACTGTAGTAGTCTAAGTTGCACTTGAACAGGACATGACTCCACAGCGAACAAGAAAACAAGCAATTGATGATTCCCAAAACACCAAATGGACATAAAATACTGTGCATAACAATTTATCCTCTGTGGTTTAAAATATAATTTTTCATGATGAGAAGATATCCTAGGGCAATATATATGGTTCCAACACCAGGAACAAAACAGGAACATATTCTGTTAAATCTGCTCTTCAGAGATAAAATGACAGTATCAGACAAATATGGATTTCTTATCAAAGACACATATCTTACCTTATCATCCTGTTTTAGGGCCTTTTGAGTGAATTACATATCTGTTATAGGAAGAAATATATTTACCAGTAGAGTGGGCCTTTTCTTCAGCTCTCAAAGCTTTTTGTGTTTCCTCTATTTCCTATCACCTCTGCTGATATATTTTACAGCTTGATTTTATTTTTGTCAAAACATTAAATGTCTACATTTCTTAGAAATCCTACATAACATGTTACTTGCATGAAGCATCTTGTGTCCCAGCAAAAGAATTATCTGTGTCTCTTTAGAGCTTTATCTCCTTTGGTTAATGTGTTACAGAGCTGGAGTAGTGGGGAGTGACAATCCTCAGCAGAAGAGTGCTGGGTGTTGGAGCTGAGAATATGTGAACGGGATGGGGGCATTGTGGAGAAAGGAAAGAAAACTTTTTTTATTTTCCATTTCCATCTGCCTTGTTTTAAACATCAGACTTGGGCCATGTTTTTATTATCTTCTCTGAGTATTGCAGTGGTTGTGCTTTCTCTGAGTCGAACAGAATTTTTCTTAATGGTCACATCAGCCTACATATGGCTACATAGCTCTCTACATAAGAGAGCTATTCCTTCACTTCCATCTATGAGGAATTCAGTTGGGTAGTTGAGTAGATTGCAGTTGTCACAACTTGATTGGGCATCAAGGGCCTAGGCTTATATGTCTTTATAAAGAAAATGTGTTTCACTGTTATGTCCATCTTAGTGGGAGACCTGCAGTGAAGCTGTGGCAAAAAGACTGAGGCTTCAAACATCTGATATGGAAGGAGGACATCCCAAAGTTTCCTGTGACCCATTTGTCAAGGGTGAAGAGAAATTGGGTGGGTGAGGCTGTCTGTCTCCAAAGTCCTCCCACACAGAGAACAATTCAAGGAAAGGATGATGACCTGCACTGTGCCATTTACTGTTAGGTAGTCTTCTGCAATTGAATGGGTCAAGGTGTAATCTAATCACATAATTACATCAGATTATTGCATTTTTGTGCTTTTTCCTTATCAATCAAGAAAATAGAAAAACTGAGTTAGTTTGGTAGATTCTCAGTCTATATATTGATTAAAAATAACCTGCCTCTACAGGTCAGATCCACCAATTCACACACATAGGAAGTGCAAACACAACAGTCAGGGTGTATGACAAGCTGTACTTATTGAGGTGGCATGATAACCCAGCCCTTCCACTGAAAGACTCTGCTACCATGCACCTGAGAGACCACCTTTCTCCTCCTGAAACACTGACTGACTGGTTATAGTAAATAAGTTTCAAGCATGCACAGGCAAATTATTTGCACAGTTAATTCACTGTTGAAATTCTGGTAGCTTTAGGAAAACTTAGGCTTGACCTAAACATTTTAAAGGGACTGGACATTAGAGAATACATATAAAAATATATTAAAAAAGCAAAAGCAATCTTTATGGACTACATTGTCCTGCTGTTCCCTGAGCCTTTTTCTCTTTTAGCCCTTGTGCAGCATCAGAGTTATTGCAGAAAGCTGTTAACATTTCAGACTGGAGCTTCCAATATCCTCCTTGTGTTGTTAAGTACAGTGTGGCACACCTAATACAAAAATTCACAGGTATAGTGGTCTTCAACTGAAAAGGCTTAGGTATTATCAGAGGTAAAAGTAATAGTGTCAAAGCTTTGTAATGCCTTAGGACTAACCCTCTGTAATATGTCATTTAGTAAGCTGCAGGTCCTATATAGGAAATCAGACACTGGACATAATTGGACTCATATAATCAGTAATATTTCATATATAATCTATTCCCATTATAATTTCTCCAAGTAATCTCATGTCCAAATAAAACCACTCCTTGTAAGGCAGAAAAAAATCAGTGTTACCTATTTCTTAGTGATCCTGTAAATGCTATAGATCTGTGCTTGTTTTAGCGAACTTAAAATGGCGGTTGTGACTTACCACAAAATAATTAAAAATTCCCTGACCCTTTAAATTAGATAACACTGAGCTGAGTTTCTTAATGGACACCCAAACCAATAAAGAACATATTTACAGTGCCTGGAGATTACCAATTAAGCATTATAACTAGTGATTATTACTAGTTATTAGTAATAATTATAACCATCTTAGAAGGGACTTCTGGAGGTCATTTGTTTCTTATATTTGCTCATGGCAGGGTCAACGCTAAAGTTAGATGAGGTTACTGAGGGTCATATCCAGCTGAAACCAGCTGCTGCTTGGTAATATGAAAGACCAATGAGACTTAATGCTTATATTATGTGATTTTTTTCAATCTTTGGTAAAGAGGATATCTTTTTCTCATATCCTTATTCACGGACTGTATTATCATCAAGATTACAGGTTTCTTGATAAAGTTCTTTCTCCATCTCCTTGAATTTATTTATTTTTTTTTAAGGGAGATGCTTTATCTAAAAAGATGTCCAAGTCAAAGAATGTTGACTGTCATTCCCACACGTATATTGGAGCAGATGAGTCATCCTTTGAACAGCCACTGGGAAGATTCATTTAGCAGCTAGTTATTCTTTCACAGTAACCTGTGAAAATATTTCTAGTCCTTGGAGATTACCATGAAGGATTTTATTTATAGAGAAGTTGACTAGATAAACCAATCTTTTCCAGAACACTTCTATGACTGCACACTGTATTTTGTAATTAGAGTCATTATTTGCCAGAATAATTAAAGAATTCTGGTGTAGGTATTCTATAAGATATCCTATGTAAATCTACTGTAATATATTCCATGACAATTATTTGGGCAAACAAGGCTACAGAAATGTGAGAGTTTCTGAATGTACGTTTTAGTGTTATTATTTAAAATTGAAGCTACTGTAGCCACCTTTAAGAGTGGAGGTATGTGAGCTGTTCAGGTAAGCAGAAAATCAGATATGACATTTTATATTTGCATTGGAAATTTTTGCATTTTTAGTTACTATTGTTCTAAAGCCAATTATATGTAGAAAATAACTATGGGAAAAAATCTTTCATGAAGTAAGGAAAAACTGATTACATTATATTTATTAGATGTATGATAATTTCCTTTTTCCCTTCCCTATTTTTTTTTTTTGGGATACACACTATCAGAATTACTTCTGATACTAAACAACAAAAAATCTGTCTCAGTAATTCACTGGAAGTGCCGTCTGCACCATGGGCTACATCATAGTTTCAGATCGGGGAAATAAAGGAAATGAACGGGTAGTTTCAGCTCGATTCCAACCAGGCAGCTGCACATGAAAAAACCTGTCATGATCTTGGCAGGAATTCATCAGCACGTTGTTGGTTTCTCAGTCCAACCAACTAATGAGCTGACATTAAAAATAAAATGCATTCCCACTGAGAGGGGCTATCCTTCCTCAGGGATGAAGAGCAAGGGTGATAGAGTGCATGAACACAGTGATGGTGCCTGGGCATCTCTGCTCTACAGCAGAGTAGCGCCTTGTCATCTCCTAAACTGTGTCTGCTGACCCAGCCCACAAACTATGCATTTGCTGTAAATTACTACTAATAAATCAGTAAGTCTTAAATCATGCTCACTAATGGCAAACAGGGAGCACTTGTGTTGGCAACTATAATTATTAATTTAATTTTTAATAACAATAAGGAAGCCTTGTGAAATGATCTGATTAATGTGCTTTCTAACTTTCCTCCCATTTAAAACACAAAAAAGTATAAAAAAAATTGTCAATGTAAACTTGATGATTCAGTAGAAGTTCATGTTTCCAGCCACAGAAAGCTGCCCTTGCCACTGCCTTTTTTAAACCATGTGTAGGCAACAGTAAATAGCTGTTCTAGGATATTAAAAAATATATGCTGGGCACAGTGGAGTTACGACAGTGGTTTTAGGTGTTATTATTGAACAAAAAAGCTAGGAATAATAAAAAATAATGTTCACTGAAATCAATGGCATATTTAGTAAGTGATAGAATAATTGGGTGTGTTTATATCAGATTGTGTTCCACCACTTCTTGCAAGCATCACACTATCGTTATTACAGCATTTCTATCTCCTTTTGTCTTTTTGAAGTCATGATAACCTACCTTACATAAAATTTGCCTTTCAGCACTTTCATTAAACTGCCAAACTGAAAGCATTGAAAGAGAAGAAATGCTGATTTTTTTTTTTTTAATCACCGCTTTATTTTATTAATTTTAAAAAAATACTTGCCAATATTAGGCAATCTTTCTTGGAGCAATGTAGGAAGTTTCATACCTGTTCCTTTGAAGAAAGGAGAATTCTGCATAAATGTGAAGATGTGGTTGTTTTATGGCAGCTCCTCAGCCATAACAGCTTTTATAACTGTTGGAAGAATTTAAATGCAATTAGTCCTTTATGTGTCCACTTGTTGTAGACTAAAAGAAAGTGATCTTTTTAGAGGATTTAAAAAAAAAGATAAATCTAGCTCTGAAAACTTTCAGATATCAGAAAAAAAGTCTATTGACTTGAATAAATTGTTGGCTGATTCTCAAACTAATGAGGGCTGAGGGAATTCTTCAGTTTTAAGTATTTCCACTCAAATGTTTGCAGAAGTGCACAATGAATCAAAGCCTTTTTTGAATGAAATATTTAGGTACAAATCTCATGAAACACAAAGTAAACAATTTTGGTGATAGTTTTCAGGATTGCTCCTTTTTATTTGGATTGATTCTGTTTCTTCCTACAAAAATGCTGAAATTGGCTGGTCAGTTGGGATTATTGTACAGTAATACACAACTGATGAACAAGAATTCAAGACCTTTTTCTTAATAGTTGCTATGCTGATTTGGAAATCTCATTCTTTCCTTATACTCTGTGAAATAAACTGATTACATGTCTAAGGGACAGAAAGAAAAAGGTGAGAGGGTAATATCTAGAAGTATATTTTTTTTTCCCAGCAGTTTCTCACTAAGCTTTATGGCTAATTAGATTTTAAAATATCTTTGTGGATCATGCCTGCTCTCTATAAACTTCCTTGAGTAACTGAGCTAAACTTGCATATTGTAAGTGCTATGTGTTTTGCATGGGTACCATGGTACATATTGAAATGTTGATATCTTATTTTCTATAGTGTCCTATCATTTCATTGTTTATTAATGGTTAAAACAAAGATAACTGTCAACTGAATAATTTTCCCTATATTACAGCAAATCAAAAAGCATTGAAAACACTATTTGACTGACAGACTGTTTTTACTAACCCATGATGATGATGGTGAACTGGAATGAAGAATGAGAAAGAATACTAAACTGTCAGTGCCCGGGTCTACGAGACTGGTGAGAACAGCTCTTCTTATCTGTTAAAATTGGTGGATCTGGCAAAACAAAAACTGAAACAAAGGCTCTCCCAAATCCCATCCCAACAACCTGTCAGTGCTCCCTGGAGCAGCATTGGTGGTTTCTGACCCTGCACTGGAATCACTCTGCTGGGATGTTTTCTGCTCAGCGCTGGGGCCAGTTTTGCTTCCTGAACTTCAAGGGTGTCATCCTAGTTACACAGGAAAGAAAATGGCCTTGTTGTGAATCCTACCAGGTAAAACTACCCATTATGTCTTTTATTTGGACTGTTAAATTTCTTTCAGATCCAGTGTTCAAATGAGTATATCATACCATAAAGGCTATCTGTATTTTCTTTCAGCTCAGTAATGTTTTAATATAATGGAAAATCTAATTTTTAAAGCAAAAGATTCTGAGTGCTTCAAAGTACTAGAGTAAAAGAGGGAAAACAGATACTGTTACCGGCTTGATGTTATAATCAGTTATTTAGATAAAGTGATTGCCTTAGACTAGGAGCCTCATTAACAGTATTATTTATTAAAAGGTCAGATTTGGATAAAACGGAATTGCAATTAGAACATTTTGCTTGTATGTCCAAAATAATAGATATAGTCTGCAGACAATATTTAAATGTTCTAAGGAGATAAACATCTTAATGGTCTCTCAAAAGTACAGCTTTCTGTAAAACTTGACCTCAAATAATAATAGAAAAGTAACGTAAAACCTAGTTATGCATGTTTATATCCCACTGACATATGTGGGTGTTGTGTATACGCTGTAGTCCAGAGCTTGGCATTGTAATAGCCTTGATCACATGATTGTAGATTTAATGAGAGAACTTCTTGGTTACTGCAAGGGGGCAAAATCAGGTCCAAAGTACCTTGTGTTGTTATTAAAAAGAAAAAAAATCTGCCAGTATTTGCTCTCACAACCTTTTAAGACAGGTACTTACCACATTAAAATTTCATAACAAATATGTAAAACAAATAAAGCTACACTCATCCATGCACAATTTTAGCTCCAGAAAAACAACTACTAGATTTTTCAAGGTTAAGAAAACAATAAAATAAGAGAGTGCCCATTTCGTCTTTTCTTTTTTTTAACTTCTGTGTCTGGCATTCATTATCATAAAAAAAAGTTCTCTTCAATTGAAATTGGCTATAAAGAAGAACAAAACCACAGAGAACAAAGCAGAAAATACCGTTTGATTATTGTGATTGCATCTTGCACTTGGGTGCACGGTCTGTCTCTAAACTCTGACTCATCTGCCAGCAGCAGGCTTTAAGGTGATAATCACCCACACAGAGCTATTTGAACATCATGTCTATCCTATCCTGTATCTAATTATACCCTTTATAAAAAACTGTTTAGCATAATTAGTGGAGTTATGCTTTACAGGAGAAAAGACAGAAGCCATAGTTTAGAAGATTCAACTTTTTGAAGGCACACATGTTCAGATTAGTGACTTTGGTATTGGTCACAATAATGAACATTTTGATGCATTGGTCTATGTAAAATTGTACAATCATTATTTTAGCAAGTAAAATAATGTACTTTTCATAATATTTACATATTGTATGTAAGCATTGCTTAAAATTATGAAATGGTTTTGGGACTCATTAATTGCTAACACTTTCACCAGTATTTTTCCGGACAAGGCTGAAAAATGCTGAAAGGGCCAGCATTGTAATCAAGAATGCTGGAAATTATCAGAGAACCTATTATTCAACTGATAGACAACAGCAGGTACAAATGACCTTAATGGGAAAGCTCTGATTTTTTTATTTGTTTTGTTTCCTTCTAGATGATCAGAAAGGATGTTTACTAATGACCACTCTTTCTTTGTGTTCAAACTTTATTAGTAAGCTGCTTTAACACAAGATCTTTTGAGGTAAAAAAGGAATAGAGAATAATACATATATGTGCACACAGGAATATATTTATTTTTCTTTGTTTGTTTTCATTGCAGTCTTAAAAGTGTTAAATGAACATTACTGATGTTGGCATCTTCTTTGTATGCTGGCAATTTAGTCTTTCTAACCTCCCTGCCCCAACCCCATCCTCTTTATATAGTAGGAAAAGCTGGAAGTACACAAAAGCCAATACCCTCCCGTAGGTGTTTGTTGCCAGGCAAAATGAAACCCAAACTGCATCTCCTAAGAATAACCTCCTGTCCCCAGATGGGGGAAAACTGCTGATATGAACACAAATACTGTATTAGCATAGACAAAAGAAAAAATCATGCAGAATCCATTAAAGCAGCCACAACTAATTAATCTTGTTTGCATTTGTGTGTTAATTGTACTTCTGTTGACTTCTCTTTGAGACCAGGATAAATTTATGGATTCTATCCTTGTTTAACAAAAGTTCTGCTATTTCTGAACAGAAAGATGTTCAGAACATTGTGCAAGGAGAATTATTTCCCCCATGAGCTATGTATCATGAGCTATTTCCCCCAAAAGCAGAGTATCAGTATTTACTTGAAGAGATGCTCATGCTTCACTCTTTTCAGGAAGGCAAATAAATTTGTTGAATTGTACAACATATCATTCCAAGACATTTACAGCAGACTAATGATAAAGCATAGACTTGCAGAAACTCTTGTATTTCCTATGGAATTTTAAATGGAATTTTCTCCATTTGTAATAAATAAACTGTACTAATCACTCCAGTGTAAAATACAAAGAGGTCAACAATGCATCCTTTCAGCTCACCATTGTTCAAAAGGTATTTGAGTTTCCCTATTAAGTTTTCAAAGGCCAACATCTGCTGATGCTCAGAAATGGGAGATGTGGTGACGAAGGCTGTATGGAGTGTGAAGTGAAAACACAACTGTATAGACCATGCAACACAATACTAAGAAACTATAGCACAACCAAACTCCAAAGACCTATTTTCCCATTCATCCCATTTCTATTATTAATGGCAGGAATATTTCTGACATAAATTTCTCTTTCATTAAGTTCTTTCTTTTTTGTTGTTATAAAATATACGTCTAAACACAAAAGTTTTGAAAACAGCATATCACTATGAATTTGCAGTCATGCAAATACCAAAGGAGACACTACAGCAGGAAAATGACATTTTTAAGATTGAAGGCTTTCATTTGCACATTATTGTCATTGATGCTGTTCCACTGTTTCAAGCTGCAAAACAGATGCCGTGGTGTTCAGCTTTAACACTGCTCTCACTTGCAAGGGAGATAGTTTTGATGGCATTTAACTTGCTGTCTAGAGCTTAACAAATCAGTGCCATTCATGAGCTTAAGTAAACTGACTTGATTTATAAATTGATAGACCTGACCCTGCATCATAAGAAGCGAGATCATTTTACCCAAATTATTAAAAACTTTTCAGTTGGATACTGGGCATGGCAAATTGCATTTTACAACTGTGATATTTTATAATTGAGATAGTTCTGCATTATACAAGTTGTGTCTAAACTATCTGCAAAGCTGAGGCTTTGGGGAATATTCTTTCAGTCAGCCACAACAGGATCCCATTTCAGCCTCCCTGCTTTATTTGTAATTAGCTAACGTGCCATGACTGTGTGCACTTCTCTGCTATGGAATTCAGCTGAGACCCACAGCTGAGCTGCTGTGCACTTAGTCCCTTCAAGTGTTATATTTAAGTAACCATCTATTTCATTGATATAGTGGTCCTTTACATAACAGTGTCATGGTTTTGTTATAGTTTAAGTATAATATTTTGGTCCTTTAATTGCATATAGGAAAGCATTTTTTCTGTGAAGGAATACAATTCTGTTTACTTTGTGGAGTAAAGCCGAGTTCAAAGACCACTAGAGGTAATGCAGATACCAGCAGATACGCTGTATTTGCAAATCTACTTCATAAAAACGAAAGCTATTACATTTATAAACTCTTCCATTTGCTCTTTGGATTTACACAGGTGTACATACATGAAAATGAATGGTCCTATACTGTTATTAGCAAACAATTTTTTTTTTTTCAAGATGCTCAACAAATATTTTCTGTGCAACAGTGTCTTAATTCTTTGCGTAACACTCCATTTCATAAGACTCAGTCTTCATCTGGTGATAAAAACCAATCAGAAAATCTGTGGTTGAGTGCAGATGAGTTGTCATGAGTGACATTGTCTCTGACCACATAATAACAGTTACATGTTAATGCAACAGAGGAAGGCCAGCATGGAGCCCCTGCACTGTAGGGCACCTAGTCAGAGAAACATTATCTACAACAGAAAGGGATGCTGGGAAATTAGATCCATGAAGCTGAATGACAATGCAAAACAATACTGGTTTTATTACTTACTACCAATACTGGAAATACTGGGTATACCTGTAAAGAAAAAAAAAAAAAACACAAAGAAATATAGTTAGCTGTTTGCTGTAGTTGGTTGAACTATTACATCTAAGATTCTGAAAACAATTTTAGAATACTGTGGTGGCAACTGCCAATATGTACCCAGACCTTCATAAATGCAGAGTCTTTAGATTCTTCAGTATGGGGCTGCAGGGACCACTAAAATGCATTGACAGATGGGACCTACACCAGCTCTCTGTACTTCATGAATTTGTTCAGAACACTTTTGTATTCCAACTAACCAGCCATTAGGTTTAATGCTCTAGAAAAAAATATCAGTCATGCATGTATTATGCAGATCTAGGAGAGTAATTTAACCCAGGGATAGATGCATTGCTAACTGCTTTGGCCAGCTGCTTAAGTCAGTTGATACCTTCTGTTGCATTAACTGTATATAGCTATTTTTAACTCTTTTACCTGACGGTTATCTAAATTAAGCTATGTAAAAGAAATGTAATTGAGTGAAACAATCTAATATAGTAGGTTGGCCTTATTGGCTAAGCCTCTCATTGATTTTTTTTTCCTCTGTTCATTTCATTCCTAAACTGAATTAATGCAAGGAAACCATTCTAGAGGCAGGTGACATTTACCATAAGAGGTGGGGCTGCAGAGGAGTAAAATTCCTTTACTGGATAAGCAATGTGGGATCTCATGTTGTATGATGCAGTCCCAAGATAGCTTCTTGTCAGGTCTGCCCTGAAATGTGTGTAGCACAAAAATATGGACATGAATCTTTCCTGAAATGCCATTTACTTAAAATTAAATGCCATTGTTAATGGACTATGGCTAGTCAGAAACTGCAGATCAGTATTTAAATCCTGGATATTTGCATCTTCTTGGTTAAATACAGTTTGCCCTTTTTAAGTTTTATTGACTTTTGATGGCACGCATTTTGCTGCAGAAATCTCTCTGTTAATCTCTATATTAAACATCTGCTATACTTCTTTCAACATCTATCTTGAAGTTCTCTCTTGGTCAGAGGTGGCCCCATTCTGCAATTTAGCAAACTGGAGTGAAGGAATGTCTTGAGGATTAACGATATTCAATGTACGCAAGGTTGTAAAGTCAAGTTGGGAACACTTCTAACTCGTGGCATGGCTAAGACAATGCTGAAGTAACAGAATTTGCAGACTGGGGACAGATCTGTTATGTTTCATCACATCAGTCCTGGGGCATATGTCAGAATTGCAGCTCTCTGGTTTCACATCCTATGGCACCTGTGGTCTGGCAGAGCACACTGTAGACAGCACCTGCTGCTCACCCAGCCCTACGCTCAGACGTTGTTTACAAACTTAATTATTTCCACTTCTGTTGAGATTAATGTGTATTTTCCAAAATTTTAGCATCATAAGGTATTGAAAGCTAAATGAAAATATCATCATAATAGAACAATACACTCATAGTTCTAATAGTAACAAAAAGAGTTTTTCTTCAGTTAGGATAATGTAAGAGAACTTCTATCCCTTTCTCTTATATGTCAAAAAGACAATCAATTTTCAAATCATTTTCCCTAAAGTTTCAATAGCAGCTTGTTTAAACTTTTGCAAGTCACTGTAGCCAGTTTAAATTAGCAGGATCCGTTTTTGTTTATACACTCATGGAACCTACACAAATATTAGATAAAATACAAAAACTGTGTTCTCGCACCGACATTTTCACTGAGAAATGGTATTTGTATTTCCTCTAGGTATACTCCCCCGCTTCAAACCTCT